CAACAGATTACTGAGTCAATAGGGCTCATATTCCTCCCTACACCTATAGAACCTGGAGGCTTTGGTTATTTGTACTTAATAAAAAAACAACCTGTATTTTTGGTTGAGGAGAGAAGTCAATGCCCCATACTAAAATCACAGATATTACTGTTTTTTGGAGTCATTTTCAGTTGAGGCAGAAGAGAAGCAGCAGCCTCTGTGGGTACATCTACACGTGCCTATTAATGCACAGCAATATGCTCTGGAGCTTCTTGCTGCTAGGAGCATATCTTCACATTCACCTGGGATTGCAGCATGTTGAGCCAGGGTGGAGGAGCCCTGACTGGCAGGGGGCCCTAGTGGTCAGCCTGCCAGCCTGGGGCTGTTTTCCCCCAGCTCAGCATGCTACAGAGGGACTGGCTGGGGCAAAAGGGTGCTTCAGTGCAGGGCTAGCCAGCAGGCAGCCCCCACAGCAAAGCACCCTCATGTCCCAGACAGCCCCTCCAGCATCTATACATGAGCTACTGTAGAGGTTTTTTTACAAGTACTATCCTGCTGCAGAGTAAATTAATTTACTCCAGCCAAATAGGGGCACACAGGTAGATGCCAAGAAGTTTACTGTGCAGCTAATTAGCCCACTGTGCAGTAAATGTCTCATGTAGATGTGCCCTATTAGAACTAGGAAGGGAGCCTGCATATCCAGATGGCTGCTGCTCACAGCAGAATGAGTCAAAAGGGTTTATAGAACAGCTAAGGTCACTCTCTCTTCTTTGTTAGGCTTTGTTAGTCCAGCAACGTGTGTGTGAAACAGACAGGAGGTTTTGTGTTTCTCTGGGTCTGGAGTGAGAACTGTATTTAAATTTTAATGTTATGTGTAAACATACCCAAGCTGAGCATCCTGGACCAAGATAACCTCTCTTCCATCTGGGAAGTTGAGCGAGGGTGGAGGAGCCCGGACGGGCAGGGGGCCCTAGTGGTCAGCCTGCCAGCCTGGGGCTGTTTTCCCCCAGCTCAGCATGCTACAGAGGGACTGGCTGGGGCAAAAGGGTGCTTCAGTGCAGGGCTAGCCAGCAGGCAGCCCCCACAGCAAAGCACCCTCATGTCCCAGACAGCCCCTCCAGCATCTATACATGAGCTACTGTAGAGGTTTTTTTACAAGTACTATCCTGCTGCAGAGTAAATTAATTTACTCCAGCCAAATAGGGGCACACAGGTAGATGCCAAGAAGTTTACTGTGCAGCTAATTAGCCCACTGTGCAGTAAATGTCTCATGTAGATGTGCCCTATTAGAACTAGGAAGGGAGCCTGCATATCCAGATGGCTGCTGCTCACAGCAGAATGAGTCAAAAGGGTTTATAGAACAGCTAAGGTCACTCTCTCTTCTTTGTTAGGCTTTGTTAGTCCAGCAACGTGTGTGTGAAACAGACAGGAGGTTTTGTGTTTCTCTGGGTCTGGAGTGAGAACTGTATTTAAATTTTAATGTTATGTGTAAACATACCCAAGCTGAGCATCCTGGACCAAGATAACCTCTCTTCCATCTGGGAAGGAAATAGGAAGCTCTTATTCATCATACCCACTGACATAAGACACGGACAAGATTGCACAGATAAGACACAGGTTCCACAAACCTATCCCACCAGCAAGGGAGTGTTAGAGGGCAGCTTGGGAGTGCGAGGTAGAATTTAGGACACACCTCTACAGATACAGGAACATGTAACCATCCAGAAAGGTTTTTCTTTTTAAAAATCTGTTCATATTTCACATTCCCACAAAAAATATCTTTAACATAGATTTAAGGCAGCTGAAGTAATTAATATGTTGCAAAATATATATGGCATCAGCAATAAAAAACAAGAATTTAAAATGCAAGAAATGCTGAGTGAGTCTCACCAATGCTCACAGACACCAGGCAGGTAGCTGGAGTGCACTGTTCTATGCTGTACTGCTGCACCACCATCTACTGTGAAGTTGCTCACATCTGCTTCTGTCTTATTGCTCTGGTCATTGCTTTTTTGGTGTCCATTTTGACACTCCCATCTGCCTTGCTGAGGGTGCTGGAGTAACTGTAAATATACCCAGCTAGAATCCTCTGCTGTACCCTAGCTAGCTTCAGGCACAGAGTTAGGACTGGGATGGATGAGCATGTTTCATCAGTGCTCCCCAAGCTCTCTGCCTTACACAGCTGCTCAGCATCTCTCCAAAACTGGATATAACTGAACACCAGCAGCCTCTGACTTTGCATCCATTGTGTTGTCTTCTACGCCTGCCTCAGGTCCTAAGGAAGCCTGGTTGCTACACTCTCATCTATGTCAGCAGCTGTATCAACCCTATTTCCTCTTGGCCTGTGGGCCTCAAATATCAGTAAGGACAACACACCCAAAAGGCTGTACAGTGGATGGCACATGGTGAGATTCCATTATTTTGATATTTTCAAAAGATCCCAAAATGGGTGGCCTGTTTCTGCCACTGCTGGCATTTCCAGGTCTGAGATCCAGCCACCGTGCTCCCATCCTGAGCACAAGTCATTGAATCAGAGGGCAGAAAGGAGATAAGCACCTCCTCCTTACAGAGCTGCATTGGAAATACAACCAAATAGAGCAGCGAGAGGTAGGAATGTGCATTTGGGAGGAGAAAGATCTTGACCTGTTGCAGAACCTATGCACAGGGGTGCTGAATAGATGTAAACCCCCGCAGATGGAAGAGTCTCTCCAGGCCCCTGCATAGTGCTGGGTCTTGTCCTTGGGCACACACAAACCTCTCCACTCAAAATCCTTACTTACAAGTTTCAGAAAGTGAAGGTAACAGCCCTGGAAGGAACAAGCAACCTACACTCACTCCATGCTTCTATCTGCCCTGCACATTGTAAGCAAGAACAGGCAGGAAAGGAAAAGAAAACAAGAGGGTAGGAAGCAGATATGATCATTGATGCTATCCACATTCTCCACTGGTCCTGTGGGATTTCCTCAAGTGCATATTAGTTTGTTTATATTGCTTGCTTTGTGTTTTGGTCTGCCTTGATTTGGTTAGGTTTATTATTATCTTCAGTTTGGTTTGTATAATGTTTTGGTGTTTCAAAAAATACTTAATATATTGTTTGCAGTCAACAGGTCTGATCATAGACTTGTTAGGTGATTCATATTTTTTAGTTTAATAATGCTCCCTCTTGTTTGAAACCATGACTTTTGCCTGCTAAATCCATTTGTAAAAAGATTTTAGTGAAGTAGAACAACAGAGGAAGCAATCTACGCAGTCTACTACATTGACAGTCCATTAACCCACAGTAGCTAGCCTGGGAAGGCACACTTACATGGATACATAATTCATCAGATAAAGCAACATTTTATCTACCTACAACAGCCTCTGCATGTCATTAGGGACAAAATGTCCCATGCACATTGGTGTCCACTTCTCAAAGACATTCACAGAATGGTTAGAGCTGGCCCAGCCCTGCTGCATGTCAGTAACTCACAAAATAACATGAAACAAGTCTGGAGGACCCCTGCTTCATTTGTTACAGAAATTAAAAGGTGTGTAGTGAATAGGGAGGGATGTTGCAGCAAGAAAAAGAATGGTCTCATCATGGTTAAAGCAAGTTCAAAGCTGTCCTGGAAAAGTGGGTTCTACTCCTGCTTTTGCTTTTTTTGTGTGGTGCTAGTCAAGTCTCTTAAACTAGTCACGTAAATCTGTTGCTCACTAATTCTTGTTTTCTGGATGCCTGGCTTGAGATCCTGCAGTCTAATTTACAGACCAGACAGGCTAAACATTCACAGCTGCAAACAGCTTTAACCAGATAAAATGGTGTCATGCTACATGTTCTAAACAGTCAGGGCCTTGGCGTCTCAAACTGGGTGCTCAGAATTAGTAATTTTGACCTAAATCTTAGTGCCTCAGTTTCTTAACTATTAAATTGGGATAATAGCACATTCTCACTTCAGAGCAGTATTATGAAGCTAAACTGAATTTTCTGTGAAGCACCGAGATGTTACATAATGATGAGCACTGTAGAAAAAAAATCGAAGGAAGTTAATAATCCATTAAGAGTGTTCAGCAAATAAGGCTTAAGACCACATATTAAACAAGGAAAAGAAAACAAAAATCCTGAATAACTGCTTATTAAGTGAACACTGTCTACTTTGTGCATTGAATGTATATAAAAGAGCTACTGCAATCTAAAGGTCACAACCAGGTTGGGCCCCATTATGGTAGGTGCTGTTCCAATTCCACAGTGTTTATAGCCTACATGACAATGTAGGTTGCCTAAAGAAAAAAAAGCTCATCATATAAAGGATTTATAGTACAAGTCAGGTTAGAAAGTCTAGCCATTTCTCAAAATTTCACCCTAAATGAAAATGCATGTGAAAGCCTCCTTCGTATTATATGTTTAGCTAATGAAAGGAACCCAAACTAACCCACATACTAACACAAAAGCATCTTATAAATGTTTGTTCTGTCAACGCAAATGAATGCCTATAAGCACTGTATACTGTGTACCATCAGTATGTGAACACATATTTTTACACATGGGCACAGCATATATGTGCACCTCTTCCCATTAAGCAATATACCTTTCTAAAACAGACACACACAGAGTTTTGTGCACACAAGATGCGCATGCTTGTACACACACACACACGCACGCAGGCATCTGCAGGGCTGGATAGGTTAGAATAGCTCGCTCTCAAGCCAGGGTGCCTTTGCAAATTGCTGACGTCACAAAGGTGTCAACTGGCAACCAGTGTGACATGCAGATGTTCAAGCAGCTCCTCTTTACTTTCAAGTGTAGAAAGGGGCTGAGTTCAGTCTAAGCTTGCAAGTAGGCAACCTGCCAGGGAGCTGCATGAGCAAGGGATACAAAGAGCTTCCAAGCAGCCCTGCTGCTCAACTCTTCTTCTGTTTTTATTGTGATGAAAAAATTGCTTGCACAGGGCTTCTGCTTTGCAGCTCTTCGGAGCCTCTCATTGCAGCATTCTCTGAAGAGCTGAAACAGCACAGAGGAAGCACAGCAGCGGAGGTATCATATCATGTCCTCTTCTAATAGCCCCAGGTCCCTGAGGCTGGTGTTTATTTTTGGAATAGGATTGGCATCCAAGGTCCTGAGCTGTCCACCAAACTGCACTTGTCAGTACCTGGAAGTGAACTGCACAGGAAGGCAGCTGCAGGAGTACCCCCTGACCATACCACTGGACACAAGGCAGCTAATTCTGGCTACCAACAACATCTCCTATCTGCCCTCCGTGGAGCTGAACTTCCTAACTGACTTGGTCTATCTGGACTGCAGGGAGAACCACATTGGGGAAGACCTGGGTTTTACCTTCATCAGTGTCGTCAAGCTTGTTTACTTGGACCTGAGCGCCAACAACCTCACGCGTGTCACTTTTACCAGTTTCTCTCAACTCACCAACCTGGTGGTGCTGAAACTCTCAGACAACCCAAATTTGGTGGAAATTGAGAAGGATTCCTTTGCCAATAACAGCTGGCTGAGGCACCTGGATGTGAGCCGAACAGGCTTAACTTTCTTGGATACCAGCACTGTCAGTGATCTGGCCAACCTGAAGTCCCTGGGTCTAAGTGGAAACCCTTGGAACTGTAGCTGCTCTTTCTTGGAATTCAGTATCTGGATAAAAGAGAGCGGCCTTAATTTCCCAGGTGAGGGTTTTATGAGCTTAGACATCCTTCAGCCCACGCATCCTAAGGTTTGGGTGGAAGTGAGTAGAGCCTTCTGTTTTCTCTATTGTGTCACTATTATTCTTGTGCATTCTGGGCCAGATACTTAGTGTAAATTAGCATAAGTCCATAGAAGTTAATGGAACTATATGAACTGACATCAGCTGTGGATCTGGCCTTTTGAGTGTCACAATATACAACCCACAAACACATACAAGAGTACATATGCTGCAAACACACTGCTGTATACACACAAGTGCACACATACACCATCAACAACTATTTTTAAATGATAAGAAACAAGCAGATGGTGACTTGGGTAAAATTCTGCCTTTAGCTTCAGTTGAGTCCATTGTTAATGAAAATTGTAGAGGTCTGTGATCAAGTTCAGTGTCATATGTCTATCCTGCTGCACTTAGCCATAGGCAGCACTTTCTGCATAAGCAAAGCTACTACTCTGAATGTCCTGACTTTTCTAGGTCGCCTTCTATAGTATAGTTTCTTGACTGGTGGCATTATATTGTTTTATGTTTAAGAACTCCCAGTGAAAATGAATGATAGACCATTACTATAGCCTTAGTGCCTCTCACACCTTTTCCAACACAGCTCATCCTTGACCCTGCCACACTCCAACCCTAAGCTCCCCACTGTATTCCCAGTGTAGCTGTACCATAACCTGTAGGAACCAGTGTTATTCCATATCTGGGTGTCTCTGAATAAAGAGGCTCACTTGGGCCATTGTATGACCAAATTGTTCTATGCGCAAACAGACAAGTGGCTGAAACCAAATCAGCTCATTTTCCTTCTGGACCCTCATTGGGATAGGATGCTATGGATGAGATTTTGCCCTTATTGAAGTCAATGGGTGTTTTGCTACCGATTTCAGTGGGGCTATGATTCCACGTAGGTTCATTTCTGTTACATGGGAAGTATAGGTAATGCAATATTTTCCTTAACATCAAGGAGCTGTTCTGCTGGAATAGGCACACACTATTCCTGCAGTCATGCACACCCACCATTATCACAGCCCTTCTCTCTTATTCCTTATATTGCTAAAAGCAGATACATTTTATATAATATACAGTATTAATGCCATGATCAAAAGCTCACAGGATTAAATGAGCTTTCTTTTACTGACTTCAGTGGACTTTGGATCAGGCCCTAAGTGAGAAGAGAAACGCACCGTGTAAAACAATGTGAAGTCTCTCCATGCAATTAACATTGTAGGGTTCTGTATGGTTCTCTCTCTTTTGGAAGGATTCTAGCACAAATTGACATATTTTACAAAAAAGCCCCCAAACAAGAAAAACATGAGCATGTGTTTAAGTCCCACTAACCTAAAAAAATGCAAAACCCCTTGCTTAAGAGCCGTTCTGGGTAACTGTGCCTTCCAGAAGAATACTTCTTTCTTATGTCAGCATGAATATCAAAATCTGGCTGTTTTCTTTCTGCATCAGAGGATTCTATAGTTGGGTTGAAGCTGATGATTATTAACAGGGCAGAACAGACACCAATTAATTTCCTAGAATAGTATATCTTAGAATTGACTGAAAGGTACACTGGATTTTCTATACCTGAAAGTCATCCCCAAGCCTAAAGATAAAAGAGTTGATCCTAAATAATCCACAGTATTTAGGACACTACCAAACAAGAAATGATTCATGCAAAAGTTAGGCTAAAACCTGCAGTGAACAAAGGAAGAGGAGAAGGAGAAGGAAAGAAAGAAGGTCAGAGGCAAGTATTCCCATAGGACAAAACACAGGTTATTTGAGTACCCCAGCTATGTCTTCTGTAAATTTTTTTGGAGAAAGAAACTACTTTTTATTTGAACATAGGGCTATAGACAACTATGGAGCTGTTAAAGAATAATACTTGTATACAAAATACCATGGATGGCAGAGGAGGAGTGAAAGAAAGCATGGGCATGGGTTACTGTACAAGGTTGTAGATGATGACTGGCTGAGTGCTCAGATCCCTGTGCTACTGCTCCGAGAACTTGCGGTCAATCCCTCTCTCCAACTAGATTGCATATGTGCGTTGGATGTGTGTATTGGAGACATTCTGGGAAAGAGAAGGAGCAGCTTCTGGTAAAAGTATGGAGGACCGAGTTTCCCTTTCAGCATCATGGATGCTGCTCCTAGGTGGTAGACGGGGAGAATGAGCCATTAAAAGAAAGGACCGAAGGGTTATGAGCCAGCCAAGGCAGCTCTAATTTGTTTCTGTCAGGCTTTGCCACCTTCCAGCAACACATTGTGTGTAAAACAAACAGGAGACTTTGTGATTCCTCAGGCCTTGTGCGAGAACTGCAATTAAATTTTAATGCTGCATGTAAACGTATCTGGGCTGAGTGCCTTGGACAAAGATCACCTATTTTCTAGTATGCAAGGAAATAAGAAGCTCCCTGTTTATGTTAGCCACTGCCACAGACAGACAAGATGACAAAGATAAGACGGATATTTCATGGTACGAAGCTATTCCACTGGAGAAAGGGGAATGGAGGGTATCTGCAGTCTAGGGGCAAAGCAGAGAGCCCAGTTTCAAACCCACCCATCCTGGGTTTAAAAAAAACAAAACAAAACAAAACAAAACACCACCAAACAAACAACATACTAATGCCTTTTATAATTATAACTAAGCTTCAACAAGTATACAGAGCTGAGACCAAGTTCTAGTGTTTGGATCTAGTTGAAGAACTGAAATATCCCAAGTTTGGGGATGCTTGAGCTCATCCAGAATTTAATCCAGATCCAAAAATAGAAGTACATTTATTATTAGGGACAGTTGCATGAAGACAACTATAGCATAGTTGCAGAATTGGCACATGGGGCGGTGGGGAAAGCAGTCATAGTGTGGCAAGGAGAAGTGGGGGGGGGGGGGGGGGGGGGGGGGGTTGTGTCCCAGTTGCACCCTGTAAGTGCCAGGTAGGGAATATTCATGAAAATAGCAGCTACTGTCTACACCTCCGGAAGTCAGAGTCACTGTTACTTAATTCACCATCTCCTTGCACACATTGCAAATGCATCATGTTAGACAACATATCAGTTCACAAGTGTTTATGTAGCAGGATCTGGCCCTCAAAAGATGGTTGTGATGCCCCTAGGACAGGAATAGCTAGGCCACTATCTCAGGGGCCTCAGGGTACCCTCCCTTTTCTGCCCGACTTGTCACACACTGATGGAAGTTACAGTCCTTAGGGAGGCTGCCCCAAGGGCCCTGGAGTAAGTCTCAGTTCATTCCACCACTTTATGCCTAGCTGGCACCAGTCCCTCAAGCATTAAGTTGCCTTAGGGGCATTAATCATAGCTTCCAACCTCCATCATGCCTACGCCCATGTCTTGGGGGTCTTATGCTTCACCAGCCTGCATGGACATTAGCCCTTTTGGCCTTATCCAGAGCAGCCAACGGGCTACAAACTTCTAACCTAAGCCTGCTTGCTCCAGCCCAGCTTCAGAGGTCTCAGCCTGCCAGCATCTTGCTTGTGGTCAAGCCTTGGCCCTAACACAGTTCACTCCCCCAACCCCTTAGCAAGGCACTCCACTTAGCCTAGGCACTCCGTTATGTGGCTTCCAGTCCACCCCTATAGCCACAACCCAGTCCTCTGTATAAACTGAAACCAAAATACCAGCAACCTGCTTCAAATTAAACTTGCAAGGGCCCTTTGAGTCATCAAACAGCTCATAAACACCCTCCCCTCACATTATCTCTGTCTCGCCTAGCTCATAAGGTACCTCCAGGCCTACAGCATTTGCTCCCTAGCAGCTTAGACTAGCAGAAGCGCTTCACTCCATAGAGTTCAAAGAGCAGTCCTAGTTCCTATGCCTCAGAGACCCAGGTCTATATTCCCTGAGCAATTCCTTCTTACTGGCCACACATGTTCCCCTGACTGGTCACAGGTGTGCCCCCTAGGCCTACTGAGCACCTTCCTGCTGGTCTTCTGGCTCAGCTAGAGTTGTTTCCTTTCTAACTACCTGGATCTCTATTCTACTGCTCTATTGCTCTGCAGCATGGTACCAGATAGTTATTTCCAGCCCTTTAGCTCCCTAGCTGCCCGCTCCTGCCTTTAGACCTTATATGTTATAGTCTCTACCTTAAAGTAACAGAAGCCTCTGGCCCCTTGTTACAGATGCTAACATAAGATAGAATGGACTTGTTTAAAAATGTGTTGACTTCTCAAGTTACCCGCAAGGTCTTCCTACCATTAGCCACCAACAGCTAATGTTAATTACCCTTTTCTACAGCAAAGGCATAACTGGGTTTAACAAAGTGTCACTTGAATCTATTAATGTATTTGCATTATGGTGCTTTTCCTTTTCCTGATACAAACAAAGTTTCAGCATTCTTGACCCATGGGGTTCCAAGGGATTCTGATTCTGGGTGTGGAACATGCAGCAGAAACAGGGGAAATAACAATGATCTGGGCCACAATTTTAAAAGGTTGGGTACAGCAGTAGGATTGTGAGGCTAATGCATTCCTTTGGCATGTGAGAGAACTGGTGTCTGTCCCTGGCCATTACAGACGAATACAAAAAACCCTGTGCTAATCAAGCTAATGGTCTATTTACAGACTTGTTGTCTCAAGCCTAGCAGCTTGCTTATGCCAACATTTTCAAAACTGATGATAATGATGTTTCCTATGTTTGGCACTTCAGACACATGGGCCCCAGGTCTTTCCAGCCACTATTGAAAAAAAAAGCATTTGCACCTGTTTTTAAGGCTCAGCTGCTACTGTGATACTTAATACAGAAAAAGACCATTAGGAAAGTAGTAATTCCCTTGACCAGAGTTTGCCTGGTGTTCATTAGTTGAATCATGGAGCCACAGACAGAAACTAAAAAGTATATCAGTCAGTTGTCTCATTTTCTGAGTACCAAGCATCTGATACCCTGAAACTCAACAAACCTGACTTGATGTTAGCAGTAAATATTCCTGTTATGCTTTATTTCTATAAAGTCAGACGCCTCATTTGGATGGCAGCTCTATTGTGCTGGATAATGGATAAACTTGAAAAGAACACTTTCCTTTCCAAACTTACAGTCCTTGAATGAAGGGGGGGAGTTGGCTTTTTTCTGGCATATATTAATAGTACACCTAAAGCAGTATTATTTTAATCAAGCTGAATATGATGATGAGCTAGCTTTACCTGCTTGCTTCCCATTCTGAAATTCTCTCTCTCAGAAGTTAAGGTTGTGACCCTTTCCTTTCTCCATCATTTATCAGTATTCCCCTCCTATCTTGCATTGGCCCTAAGAACCATTGCCTTTTACAAACTTGTATGGGGCGCCTATGCTATGAAAGAGCTGGCCTAAAAAAATAGGCCTTCGGAATCTGCTAAATACTGAGTCATGTTTTCTGTGTATGATCAGCCATAGAGCATCTATAGGGGAAGATATTCTGGTATCAGCTAAGGGGTCACTTATTCTGGTATAATCTAAGAGCTGTTAATACAGGGGTGGGCAAAATGTGGCCCAGGGGCTGGATGCAGCCCACCAGGCCATTCTATCTGGCCCACAGGGCCCCTAAAAAATTTAGAAAATTAATATTTATCTGCCCTGGGCTGCCTGTCATGCAGCCCTCGATGGCTTGCCAAAACGCAGTAAGCGGCCCTCCTCCCAAAATAATTGCCCGTCCGTGTGTTAATACTATAAGTATGCCAGCATAGCTATGTCAGCTCTGCTCCCAACTGGAGATAAGGCATATACCAGCACCTAGAGCTTTTCTGCCAGCACAGTTAACACCAGTTAACTTTCCAAACAACATTAGCTAAGCTAGCTGAAGCTCTATAGTTGTATCCACATTGAGGATTTTGCCAGCAAAGCTAGTTTGACCTGTGGGTGTGATTCTTTCATAGTCCCTAGCCAATGTAGTTGTGTCAGCAAAAATCTGTAGTGTACATCGAACTTAAGGGTTGACTCTTTTATTCCAATATCACCGTACCTCTCTGTGGGTATGGATGGACATGCTAGTTACTGCATTGGGGTTTAAGCTTCTACAGTTTAGTTTCCACTTCCTGGGGGTTAAGAACAATTATTTCAGACCATCTGATGTATAGCAGATCTTTCTGCCTTACCTCACAGTGACTATTTAGTCTGCCTATACCCTAAGAGCACCCACTCAGGAAGCTATAGCAGGGGAGCTATAATGGTGTATCTATATAATTATATTGGTGTAACTGGTTAAACTTTCCTATGTAGGCAAGGCCTGGGAAATGATTCTGGTGATCTGACTGTCACTGGCATCCCTATTGGCAAGTTCAGGGAGAGATGTCTCTGCCAGTTTAGAGAAAGTTTTCTGTTTTTTTCAGTCTAGCTCTTTAGAAAACTCATTTATTTTTCTAATTTGCCTCTGGGCTCTTATTTACTATTACTCAAGGCACAGACAAGAGAGTGTTGCTCCTGTGTTTCTTCTGCAGATGCTGAGAACATCTCCTGCTACAGCCCATCAGAGCTACGTGGCTGGCCAGTGCCTGATGTGGAGACACAACTCCACTACATATGTCTCACCCACTTATACCAGTGGGACTATATCTTCCTGGGTCTAGTTGGCTTCTGCATATTCTCTGCTGGCACTCTTGCAGCCTGGCTTGCTGGCATTTGTGCAGTGTTATATGAATTCCACACAGCTACAGGGGAAGACGATGCAGATGAAGAGGAAGAGGAAGAGGCATCCACTTATAACTGACCTTTGAAGTCCTTGTGAAAGCCTCTGCTAGCTGTACATTTACTTTGGTCCCTTTCTCCCTTTCCCAACCTCACCACCCTCTCCAGATGTGATTTTTGTAAACTGAAATATAAGAATACAAGAATACAAAATCCTTGTACTCCAGTTTCACTGTCTTTTGGGGAATTTTTTCCTTTCTCTTTATTTTCTCCAAAAGTCCTTCCACCACCTGGGCTTGGAATATTGGCAGATTATTAACCAGCCAGGCTAATATTATTCATTATTTACGGCATGCTCCAGAGTGCTGAGGCACCTTGCTGAACATGTAAAAAAAATCATGAACAAAGATATTTGGAATAGAAGCCTAAAGCCAGGCTCCTAAGTTCATGTTTAGGCTTTTAAACTAAATTCTTGATTTTCAAAAATGCCAAGCACCCAGCAGCTCCAGCTGAAGTCAGTGGGAGTTGCTCATCACTTAGAACTGTGGAAAATCTCATCATTTACTTGGGAGCCTAAATATAGATTTAGCCACCAAAATTTAAGTTCCTGTTTCTGAAAATTTTATCTAGGGCCTCTGCCCCATAGAGCCCTACATACACATACCATCAGTAAAAGATACACAAATTATACCCAAAATGATACTACAGGTGAAGCAGCCAAATGTTTGATGCAGTTTTACGCAGAACGACCTCTATAGCTGAAAAATCAGAATCAAATGTCCACATGACATTTTTCCTGGTATAATTAAATTGGTTTGAAATCATACTTCTAAGGATATGGACATACAATTTACTGCAGGGGAAAGAGGGGAACGGAGCTTTCCTCTGTGTGTCAACTGCTCAGCAATAACTGCTCATATGTACACTTATCCCACAGTGGATAAAAGCTAAACTATGATGTACCCACTTCACACACATGGGCAGGCACCTACCAAAGAGCAGGTGACATGGTGAAGCTCTCCCCCTTTTAGCCTGTAGCAAATTGTTCTTATGCACATACCCTCAGTACAGCTTTCTCATGTAGCGAAGGCCCAAGAGAGCTTTCACTATCAAACAAAACCCATCACCATCAGACAACTGCTCCTTAGCAATCAGAGGTGGCCTACTAAATTGTGAAGAAACCCTGTAGACTTACAGACCTGATGAAGACCTTTGCAGGCATTTTCTCAACAACTCAGGATGAAGGCCCTGATCCAGCAAAGCACTTCAAAGTTTAACCTCAAACACTTGAGTAAAATCCTAGTTGAAAGGGACCTCAAGGATCATTTGGTTCAACCATCTCCACAGATGCTATTCCTAAACTATCCCAGAGAGATGCCTATCTAGCTACTTCTTGGAAATATCTTGGAAGAGCCTCTGTAACTCCTAATGTAAAACATATAACAAAGTTAATAGTAAAGTTAAGCCCAAATTGAAGTGTTTGCTGAATTAGACCTTTAAAGAGAAGAGGTTCTGAATCCTCAGCTTGAATTTTGCTCCCCTCCCCACAGCATGTCTCCTACCTAAGATAAGGTGAGGGGTTGTCAGTTCACAAGATGGCAGAGTTAATCTGCAGAGCACTCTGCCAGCAGAAGTCCCTTGGGCATTTTTGGCTGGTTTACGACCACTTCACATTGCTTGAGATCTTAGAGAACCAGAAAATCCAGCCCCCAAACTCTAAACTCAGATGCCACAGTACAGCTAGAATGTTGTTAATGTTCAAAAATATTGGTTACATGCAATTAAAGTACTCTTGGAAATAATGGGTGTTGTGATACCAAATACTCCAGAGTTATGCATACAGAGCATAATCAATGTGAAATGTATAGAAATAAGATCCTCTGTATCACTAGCACAGCTAATTGCCAAGAGAAGAATCATCTTACATTGAATGAGTGCATCAATTCCATGTGTGAAACATTGGCTTCTTGATCTGATGTCGGCTGCATCTGTTGAAGAAAAAGGACAAACAGAAGAATACTTCAGCAAGCCTGGTCCAAATACACATCATCTCATAGGAACTGGATGCAGGCATTTGTTTAGATAGAATGTAAAACTGGCTATTGAGTCTTTGCCTGAAACTAATACAAAAGGATCTTAAATTTAATTCCACAGACAGGAGAGACAATGCACTATGATGAACTGCGCACACTGTAATAGAATAAAACCAGTCCTAAAAATGCAAACAACACTTCAGATGAATGTTGGGAAAACTGTCTGGATCTTAGTTTTCAAGAGTGATTTTGAGGACCTCCATTTTTGGGCATCCATTTTAAGACATCTTAAACAGGCCTAATTTAAAAAAATATATATATATTGAAAATAGGTCCTTTGAAGTGTCTCAAATTGGGCACCCCAAAATAGAGAATTCCAAAATCACTAGCGACTAATTATGAAATCACATATGATGGTTTTGACTAGTCATAATGTTCAAGGTGAAAGATGTCCTATGTACATTCATAGGACTCCAAATTCCATTCCACCCAGCCATTTCCCCCTAGGAACGTATCCACATATACCTTTGATGAACATTTATCAAGACTTCTGAAGACATCTTATAAATGGTACTTAAAAGTGTTCTTCGTCATGTCAGGAAGAGGAAGAAAAACCCATCTACTAGTGATGAATAGAGTCATCAGGCTGGGTACATTTTTATCATAGACAAACTCATTCAGCTTGACAGAAAATAGATAGGATTTAAAAGTACATGATCCCCTTCTTTATAAGACGTTTCAGAATGCAAGATATAAAAGCTGTAGGCAACATTTTCTAAAAACTTCTGCAATCAAATTTGACAGTCTGGGTATCTCATGCGTGCAGAATTTTTACAGATTGACTCGAAATAGATGCTATATCTAAAGGTTACAGATTTTCTTTTGGCAGCAGGCTGGGAAATATGGGTACTATTCAGAGTTCCCAGCCCAGATGGAAAGTGAGCTCACTGAGAACTTCTCCATGGCCGATCTCCCTACAGAGGGAGATGTAATAAGACACCCAATGACTAGCACCCAGGAAGTCTTCAAGACAGATAGAAGTCACACACTGTGATATGCTGGCCGCATGCTTCATGGTTGTGAAAGGAAACTTCTGCATCTTGTTTAAAATGAAAACCATTGTTGAGCTGTGGCAGGGACCCAGAAATACAATGGCTGAGGCTGCTGTAGATGTGCAGCATGAAACCCAGGCAGAACAGAGGAAGTTTAATGCCGCAAAGAAGGAAAACTCTCTATTACCAAAAATGCCTTAAATGATATCCATAATCTTCATCACTGTCCTGTCACTCCATTATTTATCTGCTTTCCTTTGGGGTAGGTGTTCTGACCCCTGTTTTCTTGGCTAGAGTTACAGCTCCACAGTCCAGTACAGTGCTGATCAGGAGGAGCACAGCATCCCCTAAGTCACTGAAATTCACAGGCAACATGTTGTCCATGAAGCCCTTCAGTATTACCTGCAGCCAAATGAACATTTGGGGGGTGGGGGGTTGTGTTGGTGCCTGTAAGAGACACTGTAAGGGGTAATGTCTCTGTGACTGAGGGAAGGGGGGATCTTTCTGAGGAAATTACAGTTATCTGAAGGAGCCCTGCGCACAGAGGGCGGTCGGTGATTGCAGGGGACGCTGTAGGCATGGACCTATCACAGCAATGATGGAGGGAGCTGTGTGCGTGACACTGATTATGGGAAGGAGGGGGTGTATCACACTTGTTAGGTGGGGTATAACAGTGATTGAGAAGGGTGCTGCCTGGGAGGTGTTGCCCTGGTTAGAGCCGTCGGGGGGTGGGGTGTAAGGGTGCCACGCTGGTTATAGGGGTGCGGGCCGTCACGGAACCCGCAGAGGCTGTCGTGCGGGGTGCGACGCTGGCTAGCGGGGTCGGTGTCGGTGCCCGTGGGGCGCGGCGCGG